GATGAATCAAAAGCTCATATCAGTTCAATATGATGAGCATATCAATGAAGGGATAGTTGAAGGAGACAACATACTAACAGACACTACAAAATATCAAAGACTGGTAGGAAGGCTCTTATATCTCACTATGACAAGACCATATATCTCCTTCTCAGTACAAGTCTTGAGTCGATTTGTGCATTGTCCTAAATAGTCACACATGAATGGAACTCTTAGAGTAGTTAGATACATCAAAGAAGCACCTGGATTAGGTTTGTTAATACCTGCAAGAGAGACTTCTAAACTTACAGCTTAATGTGACTCTGACTGGGGAGTATGTCTGGAAACTAGGAGATCAGTTACAGGATACTTGGTTAAATTTGGAGAAGGACTTATTTCTTGGAAATCAAAGAAACAGGAGACAGTTTCAAGGAGCTTAGCTGAAGCTGAGTTCAGGAGCATGTCAGCATGTACAACTGAAATAACTTGGTTGATAGGATTATACAAAGAGTTGGGAATCGAGATAACCACACCAGTAAATATGATTTGTGATAGCAAGACAGCCGTCTAGATTGTAGCTAACCCAATCTTTCATGAGAGAACAAAACACTTTGACATTGATTGTCATTTTGTTAGAGAAAGAATCTGCCAAGGCATGCTGAAAACTCAACACATAAACACTAAGGATCAACTGGTTGATCTACTAACTAAAAGTCTAGGCAAGACACAACACACCAACTTGTTGAGCAAATTTGGAATGAAGAATGTGTTTCAACCATAAAGCTTGAGGGGGAGTGTTGATCAGCTTAGGTGATTGAACAAGCTGTATGGTGTGAGTCAGTTAAAGTTGTTAGGAAAGTTCTAGAAGCTTCTATAGTTATTTAAGAAAGTAGTTACAATACAATAGTCTATAAATAGATATTGAACTACAATGTAAAGGCTAACTTTTCAATGTAACAGTAAATTCATTGAACTCAATAAGACGCTCTCTTTTCTTCTCTTCTACTATGTAATTCTGTATACTTTCAACCTCTATTAATGGTGTTTCCAGAAATCAATAAAAGACAAATATTGCAAGTGAGTGAAGAAATGAGGATAATATAAGGAAGCAAATTTGGCTTTTTGAGATTTTTTAGAAATTTTTTTATTGCATTTAACAAAAATTGAAATGTCATATTAAATAAAATTGACCAATCTTAAATTTCTTTCTCCGCGTCAAGATATCTATTGAATTACTATAATCTTTGCATTGGCATGATATAATGGGTGACATAGCCATGAATTTTGTCGAGGTGTTCCATATTTTGATAAGTAAATACCCCTTTTGTTCTAACTTATGTGAGATATTTAGTGTGTGCAATGACCTTAAAGGTCGTTTTTGGATTATTTTTTGGAAAATTATCATTTTACCCCTCCTGATAGTTGTCTCGAATCATGTTTTATCAGTTTTTGAATTTAGATTTGATACTGGATCGTAAATTTGAGATTTTTGAAAGTTTTTAAGTTTTGGAATCTTTAAAGTTGAAATGGTTGACTTTAGTCAACATTTGGAGTTCCAAGTCTAGGAATGAAATTCTCTCAGTTTTATCAGCTCTGAAACGTGACTTTGGGTTAGTAGGACTATTGGCTCAGGTCCTGCGATGTTTAGATGAGTTTGAAAGAGTTTTTGTGTTTTGAAAGTTTAAAGCATACGATAGTTAACCAAAGTGAATATTTGGTGATAGCAAACTCATAATAGAATTTTGACAGTTCTATTAGCTTTGGAATGTAGTTTTTTGTATAGATCTAATATTTGTTTGGGTCTCAAGGATTTCGGTTTGATTTTGAGCTATTAGACGAGATGCAGGAAAAGTTAAGGCTAAAGTTTGATTTTACCTAACATTTGAGTTAGAAAGGTCATTTTTGAGTTTTGATGATTCCACTAAATCTAAATGGTGATATTTGGTCTAGTTTAAGGTTTGATTCAGTTCCTGAAGCTTTTGAATGAGTTACATGTCCTTTACTTGGAAATTTGGAAATTCTTAAGTTAAACTTTGACTTTGGTCAACATTGGGTTAGGATGACCTTGTTTGGGTGTTTTAAGTCCAAAATATTATTCCAAGCTAGTAGCATATTTGTTTTGTGTACGAAATTTTTTGAATGAGCTTTTAATAAGTTTCTAAACCTTTTTTGGTGCTTTGACACTGTTTCAACAAATTGTGCCAACTAAAAAGTTTGTTATTATTTTTGAAGACAAAAAATTATTTCGGAACTTTAGAAAGTTTGATCATGAATTGTAGAACTGATCATTAAGGTTTTGGGTATTTTCGCTAAATCGAGATGAAATAGTTGTTTATCAAGGAGGAATAATATTTTACTGGCAAATGAACACTAAGTTGAGTTTCGATTAAATGAGTAGGTCAATATCATTATTTAAGACATTTAGAAAAAAAATATCGGGCCATTTCGCTATTGTATGAGGAAGTTACAAGTGGACAATTTAAACCCTTCACCTCATCTTCATTACTCCCAACACGCAAGCAACGAAGGAAGCATACGAATTCAATCAGAATACAATGTTTAGGAAGCCAGTTGCCTTAAAACAATCAACAATCACTTCAAAAGTTGAGTCTCCCCCGTCCGATTCATTTTCAAAGCCACACAATCTATAATCAAGCAAGTATTCACAATTACTTTCCAGAATCAACAACACCCACTACAATTCCCTTAAAAGGTGAGTCAATCAATGCAATACCCAATTCCAAAAATTAAGGTTTGAATTCAAAATTTAATACTTGACAACATTACTCAAGGTTTTAGGAACGTGTGAACACCTAATTTTCGATGTGTTTATTTTACTCCTACAATATATAGTAAGGTTTTTTTTCTTATATTTTTTGTTTTGTATTTTAGGTAGTTTGTCTTTGTTTATATTGTTTTTTTAATTGGTCCAAATGACCCAATTTTTGATTGAATTGGGTTGATTTAGACCAAATTTTGATGGCCCAATCAATTTTGACCCGATCCAATAGAAATGGTCAAGATTAAATCTCAATCATCCATGATTTTTTGATCCAAGGGTTCTTATGGGATCCTACCAAAAATACAAAACCCCAAAAATCAAATTTTTATTGAATTTTTTTTTCTACTGCCCTTTGCTTCCACCTGCCGCTGGTCGGCCACCGCCGCCATTGCCATAGGCCAGCCACCACCCCTTGGCCGGAAAAATTTTCAAAATTTTACAGTTTCTTCTTTTCACCCTCCTCTACAAAAATCCGCAAACCATTTGTTCATATCCACAGCCAAACATAAATCTTCACCTTTTTCTTTAGACTAGATGAGTGTTGCCCGTGCTAAGCACGGGCCCAACGTTTAAAATGTTATCATAATTTTACTTCTGTTTGATTTACTATGAAATATATTTGAAATTGAACGCAGTGAAAAATATTTTTAAATAACCTTAATTTCAAAAAACACAATGTCCATCATTTAATAAACAAATCATATTTCTTAGTCTGCACAATAAAAGAATCCACATGGAATAATATATAAGCGGGAGACACTATTATTTTTCTTTCAAGTTTCAACAATTAGTTCAATATTAAGTTGGGCAAACATTCATAATTTAGTATCCTTGTGCAAAGTTTATCAATATATATATTATAAGAAGGTAATCGATTAATATTACATAGATATTAAATGCACGGCAGAAAATCTACTTGTAAAGCACAGTTCGTTGTTATTCTTTAAAAATTAAATGAATAAAAAAGTACTATTTAAAACAATTTGCTATAATTAACTTTGATTTTCATGGCAAAAGTATATATGTACTATATACATGTGGCCATATTTTCCTTCACATGTTATTATAAATGACAAAATAAGAGTATTTATTGTAAAAGTGAACAGATCATTGCATTAGTTATCCTGCTTTACAGCCACATGTATCTTTTACAAATGTCAGATGTAATAGACTTAAAACACATGAACTTTAAAGTGCAATAATACAACTAATTTCTCCCATTCCGCAAACAACTTTACTGCAGACTGGTATTCATTAAATACTCTTCAATTGTTAATACCAATCATACATACGAATACATGTTAGCGAAAAGACATTGTGGCTACTTTCCCTGCACATTCGATTTAAAACAATAGGATATGAAATTTAGAAAAGTAGTGGTAGTAATGGATGGAGTAACCGCACGGTTGCAACGTATAATTTATAATGGACTTAAATTATATTGCAATGAGAAAATTACTAATTTAAACAAATTATAGCTGCCAAATTTGTTCATTATATATTCATGTGAATGTCATACTACTGATTGTTGAACTGAGATACTTACATAGTTTAACATTTCCATATGTGGGAGTGCTAATTACATAGATTTACATACTATTTTAAATTAGACAAAAATATATGCATTTTTCATGCTTGGATCTTCTGGACCATCTTTGATCAAAATCACCTGTTACATTCAAAATGAGGGATTAAATGTTAGCACAGAATCACATTAAGTTATATAACACATGATATATCTGTTAGCAAGTCTAGGATCTATAAATAATACAATCTAACTTTACAATAGGCACTAAACACAGCAGCAAACAATGTAACGGTAATAATAGAAGCACTATAAATCGTATGGCCAAGACATTTAACTTTCAACAAACTTACATATTTTTTCCTTCTCAACAACAACATACCCAGTGTAATTTCACAGGTGGGACCTGGTGAGGGTAGGAATTTTATAACAAAAGGTTATAGCAAGATTTTCTGAACCCGGAGATGGGGGCAGGTGGTACCTCTGTCGCTTAAAATTTTCAAGATCTTCGACTTGCAACATTTTATTTCTGATTAAGCAGGCTTCTAGCATACTCATTGACATGTTTATAGTCCAAGGCTCCAAGCTAACAAAAAAGATTCTATATGAATGTGAAGAAGCAACTGCTAAGCACTGCTGGGGAGTTCATATTTCTTGTTCAATTAAAGCAAACAGAATTGAAAGCTAGCATCGGAAGGAATAACTGTGTGACATTCATCCCTCCCTCTGAAGAACCACATCATGTGTGAACTTTCCAAACCAATGATTCTCCAAATATCCTATTGATATGCAACCACATTAAATAATAAACATGAAGCAACTGCAACGCTCTGACCGCAGTGAATGTAAACTGGGCGTTTTTAAAAGCAATAAACAAATTAGCATCTTAAAAGTAGCATGGTCTTCGGTGCAAAGACCATTTCTTAAGAAGATTTATGACAAGAAACTGTAGAAACATGAGGAGTTGGAAATGTAACGAAAATTTTGTAACCATTTTCTCGTCGCGTGAAGAAGTGAACAAACCTCTGGTGTTTGTATGTTTTAATTTCTTGACAAACAATATTTTTATTCAAAGTTAACAATGTCTTGTATGATTCTTTTGACAATTTTAACGTTGGAACTTAGGACAGGGTTACACCTCCAACTAGTGTGGGCATGTTAGGTATATGTTGGAAATTTATATACCTGAGCAATGATTGAAAAATGGTTGTGCAATTGCATGTGAAGAAACAATTACACAGGCTTTATCTGCCAGAAGGTAAAAATTATATAAAGGCAGAATCGAAAAGTGTTCCCATATGTTTAATGTAAGCCATCAGCATAACAATCATTATAATATCAGAAAGAATATATTTTCATTTAAGTGATAAAAGAAGTACCTGTAAAAAGATAACTTTTAACTAACCTGCTATCACATGAGAAAATATTTTCAATTTCCACAAAAGAAGAGGAACACAAGGCATCCACATAGCAACATCAGAAGCTTGCAAAACACGGCATTCAGTGGCAGCAGCAAAAGAGTGCAAAAAATGACCGTTTCGAGAACCACAACAATAGTGTTCCAACTGCAATTCAAAACAATAAAAGATAATGTGTCTAGAGACAGAATCGAATTCAAAGAAAATAAATTCAAAGATAAGTAAATCCTATTTATATTAGTCAATTGCAAAGATGAAAATATAAACAATGTACAAAATAATTTAAATACCTTTTAATTCTTTTTCATGGGAGGATTTTTCATTTCCATGCTATGTTTGTGGGTGGAAGGATTATATTTATTTGCCATGCTTGGATATTCTTTTTCCCCTGTACTAAGATGTTCATTTGTGTGCTTTTTCGCATCTGTAACATTGACAGTCGTAGATGTCATTGGTTTATGAATTACATCTTGTTTCTCCAGGTAAGACAAAATGAATAATTTTTGTGTTGCATCCATTTTTTTTGTGAATAGCCTTTTCATTTGAATGTTGAATATCTTGCTGTTCAATTGATCTTCCACATTTTGGAGCGATAATGTTTCTTTCTGAAAAAAATGAAAAAAAATTGATTAATAATAACAAAATCATTAATATTTTATATTTTATATGTATAATAATAAGAAAATAAAGCGAACAGACAAATAGAAAGAGATTGAATATTTTTAGCATAAGAAAAGATGATCAACAACAATAAATATTAAAGTTGTTTTGAAAGGAAAATCAATAGCTCTATGTTTATGTATTTACATCTGAACTGAAATTCAATATTAAAGGTCTTTCAACCAATCGGAGTCAACATGCAACAGTTCTAAAACGGCACACCTATTGTGGTAGGTACGCATGACAGTTTATGTACAAATCGCTCAGCCAATGGGTAACCATGTGAGATGGATAAAAACCAAAAAAATATATACAATGATAATATTTTTATAAAGAAAGTTGACTGTAAACAGATAAGAAAAAGTATAAGTTAGGTGCTGGAGAAAAGAAAAACAAACATAAGATATGAAATTTTGATTGAAAAGAGTACACTGAACACTTTACAGAAGGAGATGTTGACGACATAATGTAAGAGATACACCCAAAGTATGTAAAGTTAAAACCTCTTTTAGAGTTAAGGTATGACCTAGAATCACATGTTCCTACTATAAAAGTTTTTACAACTTACATGATACATAAAAATAGATCTTTATTATAAATTCTTTCATGCTAGAGTTCTAAGCTTATAGAGTTATAGTATACTTTTCAAGTTAAGGAAGTCATATGTTCAAGAAGTAGGATGCAAGTAGCTCATAAGTAATAATTGCTAATGAAACTTTTTTGTAAAAAGATGGAGTTTTATTCATCTGTGAGTTAACTTGTTTTTATATTAAAATCACTCTCAATCTACAATGTCTTTTGCTTATTTTCTCAAATTTCTCGTTGTTCTTTTTTATGTCTAAAGTTGATGTCATTATTGTTGTCTTATATCTTCCCAATTTAATGGTTAAAGTGAAAACTTTTGTATGCAACTGCTGTCTTTATTTATGGTTACATAGTGATCCTTTAGAGAATAACATAGTACGTAAATTCCTTTGGGTTAGTAATGTTAAAATAAGTAATTGATAATTAGTTTCGCTTAACTGTTATAAGCCAGTGGGCAGACTTTATAGGAGATATTGAGGGAGAGTTGAACCTTGTGTTCAAGAGTAGAAATAAGAAACAATGAAAATACAAAATCACAACAAGTTCTTTGTGATTATTTGGTGAGAAAATAGTGATATGTACCTTGATGAAGCAAATTTCATAAATCTCTTCTGAAGTGAGGTGCAACATTTTCTCTGCAATTTCATCCGAAATAATAGCTATTGCAAAACCGTTGTTGTCCTTAATAGTAACTTCAAATTGACATATGTTTTGATAATCACTGAAAGAATTAAAAAAATAATGGTTAGTTAAGACATTTATTTCTTTGAAAAAAGAAAATAAATCTTTTTAATTAGTTATTATTAATTTTGAAGAAGAGCAAATATACCTAGGAATAAGATGTGTGGATTGGTGACAACCTGTGCAGTAGATTTCCCTTCGCACGTTATATCTCGTGAACAATTGCTTACAATTTGAGCATGCCAACACACTAAAGCGTTGATCCTTACTTGCAAGGGACAATTCAGCCTCAACATTAAATACTTGTCCCTTCAAATTCAATATACCAAATATTATTTTTTACTGTAAAATAAAAAAATAAAAAAAAATAGAATAATATACTTGTTGTTCTTACCGGAGGTTGTGCTTGGATGTTAGCCACAGATATAACTTCATCCTCAAATGGAATCAACATAATAGAGCCTATTGGAGTTGTACTTTTCATCTTATAAGCAACAAGCTTTGTTTCAATTGTTTTGATCCTATAACCAAGTAAAATTATGAAAATGTCTTGTAGAAAGATTAGGAAAAAAGAAATAAAAGTGAAATTTTAAAACTTTGTGATTGTAATAAGATTAAAGATGTGTTTTATATCTCAAAATATTTTGGAATTTTGATGCATTAAATAAAAATGTATATTACCACGTCCTTAATTCGGCAGCCTGCGGATATGGAGGATTGATTTCAATTGTTGTATTGAATTTGCTCGTCAAACCAACGAATCTATTCGACGTTCCTACGTGCATTTGAATATGTAATTTTAGTTTCATCATGTTATATATTTTTCAAAAAGAAAAAAATAAATTTATTTGCACTTTTACCTGAAGATGATTTCCCAAGTCTCCTAGCAAGAATGATCGGGTAATCATGAAGTTGGTTGAAAAGTTTAACTCCCTCGTGATCAATGAAATCCTCCCAAAGTGTCAGTTTTGTTGGTTTTTTCCTACATATGATTCGAAGGATATTTTCAAATATTAAAATAAAGTTACAGAAGATATGTGATATTGTAAAAACATTATAAATAATAAAATTCAAGTCAGATTATTAGTAACAAATTAAATACCAAGGATGGCCTAGAGTTTGTCTCAGTGTACTCTCAATTAGACATACAACAAGATCAAATGAAGGTAGACAAAGAAACTTGAGGACAAAACCAAGAACATGAAAAAAGATATGGAGGAACATCTGCCAAATTCCTTCCAGGCAGCAGTAGCCTCGGCTATTTCATTTTCATTGGTTATCATTGTGCCCATTTTTAATGCTGCATTTATACCAAATTACAAGCTAAGGCTGGCTGTGAATGTGGCTGCAATGAGCTTGTGATTGTTACTTTGTGGAGGAATTGGTACTTTGTTGAGCATAAGTCCTATGGTGAAATCTTGTCCAAGAGTTTTATTGGATGCAGGATGGCTATGGTCATTACCTTTTGCCAAAGGAACAAGTCAGTCTAGCAGATTGGGCTTTACACTGCCATAGGAAAAATATTACCAAGGAACTTATGGATGCATATATTAAAAGGGAGATTATAAAAGAATGTTTGAAGCAGTTCATCAATACAACAGTCACTTGCCTTCAATGGTTTCAGTGCTGTGGAATCTTGAGTACTGCCTTCAGTCGCAAAGTGATCCTGATGAACCAAAAATGGTGGTAGAACAGAAAGCCAATGATGTATATGCTATGCATACAGAATTGCTAACGGTTGCTGAAAAAGGTAAGGAGTCAGAGGAGCACACAACGTTGAGACTACTTATGGAAGGGTACTAAGGAAGGCAAAAAATATCATCTTGTTAATTGAAAATTTTCTTAACTAAGCAGAGAGCATGATGGACTGCGTTTACTGACGTACTGATGAAATGACTTTGGAGATACAATGGTGAAGATCAAAATTCAAACATATGGCCAAAGAAACCACAAGTGGTGCACTAATATAGTTTCCAACAATTATGGAGTTGGTGTATGATGGTCTATACATGTATGGGTCACAAACAGGTTTACAACCAAGAAGAGGTAAATAAATGGTAAATATATAACGTTTACATGTTTGACAATATGTGATTTTTCTATAGTTACCATTCAATTCGGTGATCAATTGGAGAATCTTTTCTCACTTATATATAATCTCATAGTCAGCTTAATGTGCCTTAGGCATGTTATACCTAAGAGATCCCAGTATTCTCCTATAACTTTTGGAAGTTTTGGTGTCATTACCATAGCTTTTTTGCTGCTTATTATCTAACAATTCTTTAGTGTAAGAGCAGTAATAATGTACTTCTATTCCTGCTTCTTTCTTTTTATTATACTTTTGTCTCATTATCCTTGTTTAAGGGTTCATTATATTTGTTATATTTAAGTATTCACGTAGATGATGACATAAAACTATATGTTTGAGGGACATTCTTTGAAGTCATTGATATTGCTAACATAATCTATTACGCCATCATGGCTAGCTTTGTCTGAGAATATGCGCTAAAATAACTTGTTAAAGCATGAATAACAAATATACAGACAGTGTATTCGTCATAGACTCATAAGACATAAACAGTTTATTCATCACACGGCAAATTTCGTATACAAACAGGTTTACTTGTATGGGTCACAAACAGGTTTACAACCAAGAGGAGGTAAATAAATGCTAAACATATAACGTTTACATATTTGACAATATGTGATTTTTCTATACTTACCATTCAATTCGGTCATCAATTGGAGAATCTTTTCTCACTTATATATAATCTCATTGTCAGCTTGTTGGTTGAATATTTTGGTCATGATATATATATATATATATATCTTTGTGCATTCCAAAAAAATACAAATAGTTAACAATATATATTTTCTTTTCTGCATTTAAAATTCTACTTATTAAGCAACTTAATAGTATTAAAAATTGCAAGTTGCATTATTGTGGAAAAAAATACTATTATGATGTCAAATATTATTGAAGGGAGCACACAACACAATAATAAATACAATAAAAGCTCTTAGTTAGCCACCTCTAATATTTTTCCCAAATTTTAGCTTACTTGTGGTTTTTCATAGAAAGTTCGTATGCCGACAATAACATATGATAGAGGAGATGACATAGGAAGAGGAGAAGACCGAAAACAAGTAATTAGATATGAAAATAAATGACAAGAGCGAATAAAGAAAGAATAATTAGATCATGAGAAATATTCTATTATATTAACAATTAGATTTTATTTGAATAATAATAATTAAATAAATTTATAAATACCAAATTCAAATTCTTTGGATTGATACTCAAAAGTGTTAAATCTGGTAAGAGTTAGTCGTGTTGGTGGTGGTAATGGATCCTCTAGAGGTTTGACCTCTTCAACTGGTTCAACAATGGTGTTTTTATCGAGAGTCCAAATGAATTTGTTAAGTGGATTTTCGTATCCAAGAGGTGGTAATTTCACATGTGCAACAGATACCAAGTAAGTCTTGAAAGGAGCAAATTCTTTTCCAAAATATGTTATATCGATACTGAAAATAGTGGCCTGAACTTGATTTTCCTGTAAAAGAATTTGTAGAAAGTTTGATTAGTTGTGTAAAATTTAAAAGTTATCTTATTATTTTTCATATTATTAAAGTAAAATTATAAAATGATGGATTATTTAGTTAATGCAATTAAAGTTAGGTTTTTAAAATCAATAATATATTAATAAAAATAAATACCTCTTCATCTTGCAGAACTAAGACTTGGTATTTTGTGGTTTTATCTTTGTTGTCCCTTGGTCGACTTTTATCAACAACTTGGACTTTATAGGTAGTATTGGGAGTGATCATATTGATGGTATATCTTTGTGCCATGTTGAAATATCTGCAATTAAAATACATTATAAGAGGATAAGCTAAAGGTAAATGTATAATGAAAGCAATATTATAATATACATAAACAAAAAAATAAAATAAAATAAATATATATATATATATATATATTTATAGTATAAGTAAGTTGTATATGAGATTTACCATTGCAAATTAAAGCACAAAGTTCAAGAAAAGGCCTTTTCAATAATTTCATTATAGACAACATTATATGTTGAATGATCACCATTTTCATCAATTATAGGTGGTCTAATTAATACTTTAACATTGTGAGAACTTGTTGCTCTTGATAAAGCAACATACAATTGTCAATGAGAGAAGACAGGTTCCCGTAAATATATACCAACAAAATCTAATGTCTGTCCTTGAGCTTTGTTTATAGTCATGGCAAAACATAATTGTACAGGAAATTGTGTTCTCTTAAAAGGAAGAGGCAATTTTTCATCTTCTGAAGTCATGAGTGGTATTCGTGGAATAAATACATGTGTATTTTTAAAATCACCGTTAGATATTGTTGCACTAATAACATGAGGTTTAAAATTATTACATATTAACCGTGTCACATTGCATAAACCTTCACAAGGATTTAAACTTCATAATAACATAATCGGAAAATTTTTCTTCAAAGTTAATTTGTATGGAGGTAAACCAGTAGGATTCAAAGTGTGTAAGAAATCTTCATATTCACTTTGATCCTTTGGATCAATAGTTTCATCTATAGCAATATACACTTTTTCAGTGTTTGGAAATTGAGAGATCAACATGTCATTTATTTCATCAATAAAATCATTTTTAGTTGTTAGAATAGCACGAGAAGTAATAAACGAAGTTTTTGTACAACATGTGTATAAATCAGGATAAGTATTTCTAAAGAGAAGATTTAGAGATTCTTTTTCAGAAGTAAAAGGAATAATGAGGGAATGAGGAATTTCAATTTTTCCATGATCATTTGTTTTTTCTTTTCCATCACCAATTCTCATTAAATATTCACAAAATTCAGGATCTTTAGTTGCACGCATATTCTTCGATAATTGTAATCTTTCAAGTTGATTCCAAATTTCAGAACACAATAAACTTTCACGAATAAAATCTTCTTTTTTTCCACTACGAACAACAGGAAGAGTTTGTCTAAAATCACCACTAAAACAACTATTTTACCACAAAATAACGTATTTATTTCCATTAGATCTCTTAAGAGCAAGTCAAATGCTTCAACCATTTTCTTTTTTGCCATTGAAATTTCATCCCACACAATTAATCGTGCATCTCGTATTAAAGATGCTTGTGAACTTTGTTTACTAATATTACAAGTAAAATTTTCATTGACATCAGTAGGAATTTTAAATTGAGAATTAGCAGTTCGACCTCCGGGAAGAAGTGAAGCTGCAACACCAGAACTTGCAGTTGCTAAAGCTATAAATCCCTTGTGTCTTACTGTAGCTAATAAAGTGTCACACCCC